AAAATATAAATATATGTTGGTTGTGGTTTTTTGTTTTTGTTTTTTAGCTAATATCAGATTTTTAAATAACTATGATTTGATACTGGTAAGGTCTGAGTTAATTACCATTTATAGAGTAACCATGGTGACCAACACATTGCTTCTGATTCCATTAATCTTGTTGAGATTAACTTCAAATCCCAAAGGATCTCTAGCAGTGATTCAGAAATAATCTTTTCACATGTATATTATTTCATGACAGCCACTTTCTTTAAGTGTGTCTCTAACCAACAAAGAAGTAAGACAGTCCCTAATGAGGTGATTAAAAACCTGTTCCCCAAATTAAAAAAAAAATTTACAAAATATAGCAAATGACCAAGAAGGTAAATATGTAGAAATTCCACATTAAGGAGGATTTATTTCACAAACATGTGTCCTATCCCTAACAGACATACCAGAGTAGTCCATTCTGTTCCAGTTAGAAATTTGCCCGTGTAGGACCTCAACCTCAAGATAGGAACTGGAGACAAAATTTGATATTCTTTAATGAAAAAACTTCCAGTTATTATTTAGAATATAGGAATTAGAAAGGATGAGTTGAGCTGGATTTGGGAAGAAGAACAGCTGATTGCCTAAAATGGGACTAATAATGTGTTATGTTTGTAAAGAGTTGTTTACAACTTTAAACATAGAGTATGACCCTACCCCACCTAAAACCACCTGTGTCCTGCAACAGCCCAGAGAGTCGGTACAAAATGTGGTAGCCTCATTTTACAGATGAAGATACAGAAGCTAAGAATGCAGAATGACCTCCCCATAATTACTTAGTATTAGAGCTTTCTTTTTAACTGGCTAAATAAATTGCTAAGATTCTGAGTTGGAGGATACGAGAATTGGATTAACAACCCAACTTTTTTCTGACCTCAATTCATATTATGTCTAGATGATATAAGCACAAATCTGGGTCATTTGAGTAGCAGGAAGGGTTATAAATTTAACATGAATGCTCTTGTTGGAATAATAACCATCATTTCATATTTTCTTGCAAAGCAACAATCTACAGGATTTAAGAAGGAAAGATACCCACAAGCAGTTAGATGTATTAACTTTTATTACTGAGATAGTCATAGAATGATGTTTATGTACTGTTTTCCAATAGGAAAAATTGCTAAACCCCTCAGAATACATGAACGAAGTTTCAAAACAATAAAAAGCTGACATGACTGATCAGTGTGGCTAGTAGGACTAATGTGAAAGCATTGTGTAATAGTTTCATTGCTGTTTATTTTTGTTTTTGACTATTCATAAAATAATTTTCATCTCATTCATAGCATCTTGGACTCTATGATATGTAGTAATTCATAAATCAACCAACATGATTCTGATCCCGTCTAGCTGGTGATTGGACTTTGCCTAAAGCTACTCTGTTGGTGGTAGACATCATTGACAAGTCTGCGGTAGTAAAACCAAAGCCAAACACTGGGCATTTGCACCCCTGATTCCAAAAATGAGATTAACCAAATTTGATGGCAAATTAGTCTTCTGTTCACCTCAGCACAAATGCCCTAGACCATAATTTTAATCAATTGAAAAAAGAAAATGGTCTCCATTAGCTATTTAAGCTTTCAAGGTAAAGGTTCTTAATAATTCCCTAGTAATAGTAAAAAAATAACATTTCCTTGGCAATTTAGGACATCGAGGAGGTCACATTAAAATATTTCTTAAAAACAAATGGAAGGGGAATGGTTTTGATACAATCATGGCTATATATTTATATATTTTTACAAATTGTTAGGAAATGGGGAATGTTGTATATGCATAAATGTGTAACTCATCACAGTAGCCTAAGACCCCATGGGTTATTAAATCAGCAGAAATGAAGGGTACCTGGGTGGCTCAGTTGGTTGAACATCTGACTCTCGGTTTCTTCTCAGGTCATTCTTTGGGGTCATGGGATCGAGCCCTACACCAAGCTCCAAGCTGACTGGGGAGTCTGCTTGAAATCTGTCTCTCTCTGCCCCTCCCCCCCAAAAATAAATCTTTAAAAAATTAGATCAGAAATGAGATACTTGTACGTGTTGAATGGTAGAAGCAAGCATTCCATCAACTTGGCTTAAGAGTACAAATAAGCTGGCCAAGTTGTTCCTTCTTCACCTTCACAAAGGTATACCCTGGTTAAGTTTATACAAACAGCGTTGCAGAGAATGAGTTTGCTTAGCTCCAAAGAGTGCTAAATTGCTTCAAGTAAGCATTTGTCCTCTGTAAACTCAGAAAGCCATGTCCTTTATATCGTAGCCTCAACCCCTTCCTTACATAACAACACTCTCCTGTGACTACCCTCTCAATAACCTCTTTCTGGTGATTTGATTTCTAGCTGTGTACCGGGGTAGCTTGGTTTGTTAACATAAGGGCTCTCTGCCTAGAGCCTTTCCAGGCATAGGCCAGACCTTGGTTAATAAGACCTATAGGAGCAGAGGGATAATTTAAAAATTTCATGAAGAAATCCAATTAGATTTGAGTTCCTTTGAAAGAACCTTTGGAATTTCTTTTTAAAACTATGCTAGCACTTGAGATTTAAGGTGTATTCATGTGTAGCATGCATTTTACAGCTTAATTTCACTATGAATGTATCATTTTTTCATAGACCACACACGTAAGATGAGGTGAGAGAAAATTAGAGTTTTCAGTGTTTGCTTTTATTTTCCCAATTTGTGATACATGCTGACTCTCCTGTTGCTAGAGGAATATATTATTAACTTAGGTATCAGAATTAGAAAGATCGTGTCTCCAGATTTTTCTGATAAAACATACCATGCCTCGGAGATGTTCACATGGGACATAGAGTATATTTCTCCAGCTATTTTAGTCTCATTTGAAAACTTGAACTTGGTTCAGGGAAATGCTCTGAAATAAAACACTATCTGCCTCGTAGCTCTATCCTTTCTTCTCAGAAGGAAGAGACAGTGATCACATCTGACTGAAAGATCTCCTGCTACAGTTTAAAGCTATTGGCTTTTATTCTCTCTTGAAGCTGAGAGCAGAGTGTCACTATTTTCTATTTAATAATCTTGAAAGACTTAACACTTGCTAGTAGAAACATTTCTAAGCTTCTCTTTTTGACATTTTACAAATCCCTTTCTTTAACTTTCATCTGGTTTTTCAACATTTCATATCCTGCTCTTGACCACCCATTGAGTGGTATATCTTTCCCACCTATCCTAGATTGTTGTTCTCAAATAAAAACATGACCAATATAGAGGGTGGATTAAAGATCATGGCCTCCTTTCAGCTTTTTGTCTAAAATGACAACAAATGCACAAGAATTTCACTTCTCAAACTTATAATAAGTAGTAAGAGCATAGGCTTGAGAGCTATACTACCTGGGTTTAATTTCCTAATCTGCCACTCTACTAGTGGGCTGTTCTTGGGATGATTATTTAACCTCTTTATGCTTCATTTTTGTCAATGGTAAAATGGGGATAATAAATAATACTCCTCTGATTCTGAGCATTAAATTAATGTAACCTATATAAAGTATTTAGGACTATACCTATAAATATGAACCATAAAAATTCTATCTCACAAAAGTAGGGATCCAAAGGGGTACGTGCACCCCAATGTTTATAGCAGCAATGTCCACAATAGCCAAACTGTGGAAAGAGCCAAGATGTCCATCGACAGATGAATGGATAAAGAAGAGGTGGGATATATATACAATGGAATATTATGCAGCCATCAAAAGGAATGAGATCTTGCCATTTGCAACGACATGGATGGAACTGGAGGGTATTATGTTGAGTGAAATAAGTCAAAAAGAGAAAGACATGTATCATATGATCTCACTGATATGAGGAATTCTTAATCTCAGGAATCAAACTGAGGGTTGCTGGAGTGGGGGGTGGGGTGGGAGGGATGGGGTGACTGGAATGATAGACACTGGGGAGGGTATGTGCTCTGGTAAGCGCTGTGAATTGTGCAAGACTGTTGAATCTCAGATCTGTACCTCTGAAACAAATAATGCAATATATGTTAAGAAAAAAAAAAGAAGAAGAAGAAGAAGGTAGCGGGAGGGGAAGAATGAAGCGGGGGAAATCGGAGGGGTAGACGAACCATGAGAGACGATGGACTCTGAAAAACAAACAGGGTTCTAGAGGGGAGGGGGGTGGGAGGATGGGTTAGCCTGGTGGTGGGTATTGAGGAGGGCACATTCTGCATGGAGCACTGGGTGTTGTGCACAAACAATGATGTAATGTATGGGGATTAACATAAGAATAAAAAAATTAAAAAATTAATTGTGCACAAACAATGATGTAATGTATGGGGATTAACATAAGAATAAAAAAATTAAAAAATTAAAAAAAAAATTCTATCTCAATTTCAAAATCAGAAGTTGACTGTGTGCGTCATGATCCATACTAGAAGGTTATCTAGAATTCTAGATATCCTGCTGACAGTAACTTAAGCCCCCAGCCCATTATATTGTAATTTTGATATGAACCTGGCATTTTTCTCTTAATATAAGGCATGAGTATATTAGTTTTTATGATTGATTCTTAAATATTAACATTATCCCCATATCTCTTAGGCCCTAATTGTCCTAGCTCTTTAAGTTGTTATTGTAACAAGGGAAAATGATGCTTTTTTTGTGGTGGGCTGTAAAGTGAACAATTGGGTTTCCTAAATCTGAGGAGTTTCTAGGAACATGGGATTTTTACTGCAAAAACTGGGAATGTCATGAGCAAATCAGGATGGTTGGCCATTCCAGCTATAAAGGTACTATGTAAAGTATAAAAGGGAGAAAGGAAAAAAACAGTAGTCATATTAATATCACCAAATAAAAAAAATTCTTAGTACAAATAGTCTCTGAATATCTGAAGGGTGAGATTGCACTGGACTAATTCTAAACTTCAGGCATTTGGGCTTCACTTTTTGCTATTATCATCATCTGTGGGTCATACTCCTTCTCCTTCATTTTATGTTGTGTTCTCCTCTGATCATTTTTGCCTATTGTTTTCTTCTAGGTCAACTCAAATCAAAACATACTCTTGGGATAACGCCCAGGTTATCCTGGTTGGGAACAAATGTGACATGGAAGACGAGCGGGTCATCTCAACAGAGAGAGGCCAACATTTAGGAGAACAGCTTGGTAAGTGATAAGTTAACAAAAAACAGAGCTTAGTCATTATTTGTAACACTGCACAGAGTCACAGCTAATTGCTAGGATGGGCTTAATGAAAAGACTTTCAACCTTGCAGTAGAAGCCAACGTATCCTCACAGTAGAAGCCAATGTATCCTTGGTAAGTAGTAAATGGATTTCCTCTCACTTTCTGTCACACTATCAGAATCCAAGCATAATTACAAAAGCAAAATAACCAGAATGTTAATCTAGTACAAGGTATTCAAATTCTCATTTCCTGAGAAACACAGGCTAAGCCTTGCCTGCTATTTTTTAGTTCCTTTATTTTTTTCCTCCATATACAACATTTTGTTTGCATTGAGTGAGCATTTTATTATCATGTGTGATTGTTGTTGTCAGGTTTCTACTGGAAAAGTTTAGTAGCACAGAATAGGTCACATTATAGATCCTGATTCTGGGGACATCACTGACAGCCTTGCTGCTGTTAAAAATGTCTTTGAGACTCAGTCTCTTCATCTCTCAAGAATGAGTATCATGACCCATGCCTCCTTTACCAAGTTTTTGTAGATAAAACCAACTGAGATAAAAAAAAATAGGTATTAGCTTTAGAAGTCACAAAGCCCTTTTAAACACAAAACACTGTATCTTGAGAGAAAAGTACTGGAGCAAGTAGGGTAGAGTTTTGGTGCACAGGAGTGAATCATGATTGATTTATTAGTTCAAGGCATTTACACTGAGCACCTATGATATGCCCAGTACTGTGCCAGATATCATGGGGCGTACAAAAATGTATGATTCACTGTCCCTGGGCTCAAGTTGCTTTAAGTCAAGTGAGAAATCTAGAAATCCACAGAAAAAAGCAGAAACAAGCAGACAACAAAAACAGGATAATTAGCTCGGAGGTAGATGCCAAGAGGAAAGCAACAGAGAGAAGGAGGCAGACTGGAAGAGAGGTACCAAGAGGTGTGAGAGCAGAGTGGGACAGGAAGCAGGTAAAGCTCAAAGAAGACAGGACACCTGGAGAGAAAATGTGTGGAATTGAGCAGAACAGCTAGAAAGAGGTGAGTGATGAGAGGACATAGAGATCATATGGGTTAAATGCCAAGATAAGGCCTGAATGGACCCTAAAGGAGAACAGAATTTGAAAACCGCAAAGAGCAGAGGAAGCTTTATGATTAAAGGGCACCGTGGTGCAAGGACATTGAGAGGAGAGTGAGTAGAAAAGTTGGAACCTAGTGCAATATTACTGAAGTAGAGAGCAGATTTGGGGAAAAATTGAAGCCCTAGAGCAAAAGAGGTGGATTTCTTTTCTTTTTATTCCTGCTCCTCTTCCTCCCCTCCCCCTCCCCTCTCCTTCCTCCTTACACAACAGAGAACATCGAGGTATTCTTAGCAGGGCAGAGTCTGGCTCTCCAGCCTTTTTGGCTACTACGTACAGTAAGAAATATGTTCAATATAGCAACCCAGTGCATACATATGTACAGAGAGAGAAAGAAATAGAAGTTTCACAAAGTATATCTACCCTTACTAGATGAGATTCATTCTGATATTTTTCTATTCAATTCTCTTTCTCCCTCTGTCTTTTAATAGTGTTCTCACCCGCTATTGATCTTAGGGCCTAGTGATGGGCCTCAACCTACACTTTGAAAAGCACTGCTATGAAGGGCTGCTTTGAGATCAATCCGCTGGTACCGGGCAGCACATATTGGAGAAGCAGAGACCCTCTCAATGGGTCCCAATTGGGTCACTCTATCATGTGGTAATCTCCTAAAAGAACTATGCACAGTCCATTCTGAGAGCTTGAACATTTCTTCGTGAGATCAGTGTACTCATTAGACTAAGGGCTGTCACCCGATAACCACAAGAATGCTTCCACCAAACATTTGTGGAGCTGCCCATGAGAAAGTCACATAGCTGATGTCTGGTCTCTGTGGTTGCTCTTGAACCATTAGCATTTCGTTCATAGGGGCTATCCCATTCTATCACTTTAACAACGTTTTTATTGAAAATTCTGAAAAACTTGGCAACTCTCCTTAATCTTCTTAGCAAGTCAAGACTTTAGGATTGGAGAATAGTAGATCCGCAAAGAGAAAAGAAACCTAGGAGAGAGTTGGCATGGTGGCTTCCTGAAACCATCTCTTCTTTCCCTGTATTTTCTTGACAAGTCAAACATATGCCACATTGGGGGTAGTGGGGGAACTGCTCCACAGATCGAAATCATCTCTCTCTGTATAAATGTGAAAATTGTTTGGTTCAAACAAAAACGGATTGAAGGCAAACACTGTTTAATGTCACCAGCAGAAAAGAGACCAGTAACTGCATGAATTCTTCACTAGTTTAATAAATTACTTGGGTGTTCAGAAGAGCAGGTTATGGAAGAAACATTAGAATGATGGGAATGCATCCAGAAGGTGACCTTTCTTAGAACTAAGCCTCTGACTGGCATCAACATGAACCCTGTTCATGCAATGCATAGCTCTAGGAAAGTTCCTGAAATTGTGAGACAGAAATGTTTTATGTTCCGGTGCAAGTTCTTCCAATGGTTTCTAATTGATTTTCTTTTCTTTTTTTTTCTTTTTTTTTGCTCTCTATGTAATATAACCCAGCAGTTGTCATAGCAACCAACACTTGTGCATTCTTGGAGAGTCATTTACTTCCTTTAATGTGGTTTGTTCTTCTCGTGACTGAACACACTTCTACAAATGATCATGACAGATCATTTGTATGGAAATAACCTACTCTCACAACATCAATGTAAAGATTTTAAAGATCTTTGCTTTTTTTTTTTTTTTTTTTTAATTACTAGTATAACTCCATTGTCCAGAATTCCCTTACATAGACACAGAGGTTGGGCACTGTTTATAAACATCATGTCCACATTTCAGTAAATGGTTGAAAATAACTGTTCTATCAGTCTGGTTACAATTAATTCTCCATTGTGGATAGTTACATCCATAAAACATTGGCTAATCCTAGTGAGGGTACATAGTGAGGGTACTCCATTGTGGATAGTTACATCCATAAAACATTGGCTAATCCTAGTGAGGGTACAACTGAGTTGTAGCTGAGCTCTTTGAAATCCTTGTATGGCAGTCGCCCTTGTCGGTCCACTTTAGTTCACCAAGCACTTACTGAGTGTTTACGATGTGTCAGCTGCTGATAATACCATCCCCTACCTTCCAGGAACAAACAGAGTACCTGAGATAGACTCTCCAGACAATGAGCATTTACCTTTCCTCATTCTCTGTTCTATTTGGCCCTTTGGTTATGCCCTTATAGAACTTGGCCTTTTGGCTTCCACTCTATGATGCCCTCTGTTTTCCTCCTCCCTCTCCAGCCATACCTTCTGTTTGCTTGGAAAATCCCTCCTTTTTCTGCTTCTTGCTCTTTGGCTTTCTTCACTGGGCCCACCACTCTTCATTTTCTCCCATCCACTTCCATGCTCAGAACTGCTGCCACAGACCATGACAACCCAATCATTTTTTTAATTTTAATTCCAGTATAATTAACCTACAGTGTTATATTAGTTTTAGGTACACAGTGTAGTAATTCAACACTTATATGCATCACCCAGGTTCACCACGGCAAGTGCATTCCTTAGTCCCATCACCTGTATCATCCTTCCTCCACCCCCTACCCCAGCTTCCCTCTGGTAACCATCAGTTTGTTCTCTATAGTTAAGACTTGGCTTATCTCTCTTTTCCTTTGCTCATTTGTTTTGTTTCTTAAATTCCACAAAAGAGTGAAGTCAATAGTATTTATCATTCTCTGACAGACTTATTTCACTTAGCATTTATACTGTCTAGCTCCATCCATGTCATTGCAATGACAAGATTTCATTCTTTTTATGGCTGAATAATATTCCACTGTATGTACATATATACATACATATACATACATACACACCACATCTTCGTTATCCATTCATTTATCAGCGGACGCTTCCATAATTTGGCTATTGTAAATACTGCTATAAATGTAAGGGTGCACATACCCCTTTGATTTGGTGTTTTTGTATTTTTTTGGGGTGAACACCCAGTAGTGCAATTACTGATTGGTAGGGTAGTTCCAATTTAACTTTTTGGGGGACCTCCACACTTTTTCCACAGTGGCTGTACCAGTTTGCACTCCCACCAACAGTGACAACCAAATCTTGTTCTAGTCCTGCCCTCTCCCTGGAGCTGCAGGCTCCTTTGTCCCCTCCCCAGCCCCCATAGCTGTGCGTTTTCTGTATGTGTGTTGTAGAGTGGTTCTTTAATCATCTGCAGCTAAATCTGAGGTTCTTGCTCAAGTGCACAATTGTCAACCCAACACAGTCCTGTTGCATTAGAGTTTCTGAAGTTGAAGCCCGGGAATCTACATTTTTAAGAAACACTCTGACTTTACACAACACTAATTTTAGAATGCTGGCTTAGATGGTGGCAAGTATTTGGAAAGGTAGAGAATTGTCCCCGGAGCTGAACATTATCCTATAGGTAATACTATTCTTTCAATGCATGTTTTTAACATTTACCACAGATGTATATACCTGTAACAATATATAGGAATGTTTTAGATTTGTATTTTATCTAAGCAACAAATTTATAATATGGTAATAATCTAGAAAATGTATAATATTATAACAAACTTTAAAAGTTAAAACTGTTTAATATTAAATGAGAAAAAAATAGAAATAATTATAGTTTTCCTAAAATAGAAGTCACTCAAGTAGAAATAAAAATAAATAAATTTATGGAGGGGAAGGGATTTGTATTGCCTTGAAATTATAGATGAAAGGATATTTGAACTATTTTTATAAGCTGTGAAAGGACAGAAATTCTGAAATTTGCCAAAAATGTAGTCAGAGAAACAAAGACTGCAGATAAAAAAATTGAAGTGATTAATTTTTTTATAAACAGTTTGTAAGGATTCAGTTTTGAAATGTTCCTAATTTGCATTAATATTTCTTCCTAACTCAAATAATACTTACTCTCTTTTAGTCTTCAAACAACTGTCATGATATTATGTG